GTCGATGGCTGTTAGAACAAGGCTACAAATCTTGTAGACGAACGTTTAAGCCGCTAATAAGCAAAGCCCACAAAGACAAAAGACTTGAATGGGCTCACTATTACAAAAACTTCATAAAAGACTGGAAGAATGTTCTCTTCTCCGATGAAACATAAGTTGAGCTAAATTCAAAGGATAAGCAATCTAAAATCTGAAGAAGCTTTGAAAGCTCTTTGAATTTAGCAGTAAGTACTGTCAAGCATCCATTCAGTATAATGTTCTGGGGATGCTTTTCTTTTCATGGAACTGGTTTCTTAAAACCTATTGAAAAGACCCTCAGAAGCGAGCAGTACAAGAGAATTTTAGAGTCTTGTCTGCTCTCTTTTGCTGAAAGGGTGCAAATCAACCCCACCAAGCTCATTTTTATGCAGGATAATGCTCCCTATCACAAATCAAAATTGATGAAAGAATACCTTGATGAGAAGCAGGTGAGTGTTATGACATGGTCGCCGCAATCTCCTCCCCACTGAAAATTTATGAAGCATTATAAAGTACAGGCTCTCAAGAAACCAGCTGAGCAACAAAGAGGATTTGATTGTGAATTTCATATCCGAAAGGAATTTAATGCTTGGAGATGAGATTTGCCAGAACCTAATCAAATCAATGCCAAAAAGGGTTGAAAAGGTTATTTAAAATAAAAGAGGACCCATAGATTATTAAATATTTTGAACTATATTACCTGTTATAAATAAATTATACCTCTATTATTCTTTATTTAAAGCTGTTCAATTATGTTTCTATTGATTACTAGTTGCAGGAAATAAGTGAGTCACTTTTTTTTGCACAAAGTTTTTCCCCAAATCTCATTTATATCCAAAATTATAATTATCAATAGAATACCTTAGGGTGAATAAACTTTTTTACTAGGTGGTCGGGAAGGGGTCTTTATATTAGTAAGATTAAAAATTAGTTTGACCCCAAAAACAATAGGCGAAAAAAATTTTTGAGTAAAAAAAAAAAAAAAAAAAAAAAATCAGGTGAGTCACTTTTATCGAACAGCACTGTACATATGTGTATGTGTGTTTATATATATATATATATGATATAAAATGACAATTGGAAAAAAATCTTAGATTTTGCCAACACATTTCGTCTTTCGACTTTTTCAAGGCAAAAATGAAATCGAAAAGTTTTTGTTGTTATAGTTACATTAAATTGATCTGGGAATTTAACTATATATATATATCTTGGAGTTATGTTGTTAGTGAGCATGTGTCTTTTTAGTAATCTGTGATTATTTTGTTGTCTGGGTGTATTTTCGATGCTGTGATAAAGTCTTTGCCTACCACCAAAATAAAAAAAAATAAAAATTTAAATAAATCATCAAAAATAAATAAACAATGAAGACAGCTGTAAAAATATTTATATTTGGAGTGTTTTAATTTAATATTATTAGTTATATCATTAGTAATTTCCTTTTTTTAATCGAATTAAATAAAATTAGTGTAATTAAATTACCCTGAATATGGTCCAGTCCTTTCCTGTGAGATGTTTAAGAAAGACCAATATGAATTTGAGGGTTAAGTAGGATAACATTAAGGGAAAGACAATAGATGACTGCAAGTAAATAGTACTAAAGAATCATGAAAAATATTAAATTGAACACTGGAAAAAAACAAATGTACTATTGCCTTGACACTATTGACTACAAAGAAATTAATTAAGTTTTTAAAGAGACATTAAGAGAATATTCAATATCATTTATTAAACTTATTTTCAAATAAACATCTAAGATTGAACAAAAAAAAAAAACGGGAAAAATATAAGAGTGTTGAATTGTTATGTAACATCAAATCATTCAAATATGGTAGTGATTGTTGCACACTTTCCATACAGATGAAAAGGAGATCTGAATCAAAAAGAGATGTGGTTCTACAGAAAGCTGATGAGACAGAATATCTGAGCAATGAGGAAGTTTTAAAGAAAATGGAAACAAAAAAGGATACTTATACTTAAAATCTGAAAGAGATGATTGAAATTTAAAGTTGAGGAAGGAAGTCTTAGAAAATTTAACACTTAGTACAAATTGAAGGCATAAGGGACAGAGAAGAACCACAAGTAACCTCCCTCATGAGTTTGTTTAAATGGCTGGCATAGTGAGGATTGGGAGTAATGATAAGAGGACAAACATTACATAAAGCTACAAAGGATAAGAAATTGTGAAGAGTCATGATCACCCACATCCTGAAGAAAATAGCACATAGAAAAAGAATAAAAGTTTTGTTCAAAACAGCATCAAATACTTATAAAAGACTAAGGTGATATTTTGTGCTCAAAGGAAATCATTTTTCCCCCACCAAACAAAATATTCAACTAAGTAAAAGAAACAAAACTTCACAGTGAAAAGTGGCATATTGAAACATGACTTATAGGTATACCCACTTTCTAAAAAAAAAACCTAAAAATTGCATTTTAAATAATTTAAATTTCTTCTTCGAAAGTTATATTTTGGTTTCAGCTGAAAGATAATAGCTTAATGCTAATTTGTATAAATTTTCCTATGTAAACAAAGTTTTTAAGCATTTTTAAAACAGTGGTATGTTTGAACTTCCGTTATAGACAAATGGTGTAAATGATAAATTTAAAAATCTCTTAAAAATTCAATATTTTTACCAGATATGTTTTTCAAAGTAAATTAATAAATTTAAAGATTAATTGACTGAATTGTGTAAAAGTAATGCTTACTTGCTTAAAACAATGAAAATATTTATTTATGCACATTAGCATGTCACCATCAATAACAGAAGTTTTCTCGTCATCCCTGACTCCCAAATTGAAAGAAATATGGTACACTAGCAGCATAATAATCACTAAACTGGTATATATATTTAAAAATAAATTATCTTTAAACTAATATAAGCAACAATTGATTTTTTAATTCTATATGCTTTTATAAAATTTAGTAGAATGCATAATTTTATTTTTTATAAAAGTACAAAAAAGAAATTAATTAAAAATTAGTGAAATAATGCTTTCATTTTATTTTCTTACCTGTTTGACATAAAACATTTAATTGCACACAATGTGATTCTTTTTAATTATTTTGTGATTTAAGAATCATTGAATTATCTATAATATTACTCTTCAAATAAGGAAGAGTAGTCAGTCAAAGGAGGTAATTCAGAAGTGTTTCCTTTTTGAACTTTTGTACCAAAAACAAAGAAAGAGTTACAAGAAAAAAAATCTTTAAAAAAGTTCACTTTCAAAAATGGCATTAAACTTTATATTTTTTGTTCTTCAAATATGTCTTTATTTAAAAAAAAAAATTTTATGAACAATATTTGGAATTAAATTCTTAAAAAATATTGTTCATTTCTTTTCCTGCTCAATCTGAAAGGAAAGTGTTTTGCAAGCATGGATTCTCAACAAAAATTGTTTTCAGTTTTATTATTGAATTATATTAGTAAAATTCAGGACAAATTTTCTGTATGTTCACGTTTGATATTGCATATTCTGTTTTACTGAAATAACATCTGTCGGGTCAACTGGAAGCTTCCATCTCAAGAGATAGGAGTCAAATGACCAAAAACAGTTATAGGCTCTGAGTTGCACTTTGGTGGTACAATGAATGACAATTTCAGTCAAAAGCGAAAAAAAAAAAAGACAATTTGAAAACGATTCCATTGAAATGTGCTAACATAGCCGCTGTGGTTTTCTTCTGTAAAAATTAATAAAGTAAATTTAAAATTTTTTCTTTTCTTTTTTAACTTCAAGTTGCCGGTGAGCATATAAAATAAATTCTTAAACAAATTATAAGTTCTAAATTCGTCAAAATGTTTTTTTAACGATAGTGTTTTTTTTTTTGTTTTTTTTTCGGTATGGAAATTCTTGTCATACAGGCTGTTCCAAAAAGTCATGTAACAATTGGCAGAAAAGAAAACGGGTTAAATTTGTTTGTGCATGACATCATCTTCCATAATTCGACTAAGAAAATTGCTTATTGTCACATGAAGAAACAGGATCCCTTTTTTGGTAAATAAGTTAAGTATAAAATTTACAAGGTTATCAATGGTAATGCGACTTTTTTTGGAACATCCTGTAGATCAGTGGTTCCTAACCGAGTTTGGGTCATCATGCCCCACTTTGGTATTTCTAAAAATCAGGTGCCCACTTGTAATATTTAATTCTTATATATTCAAAATTTTTTACTACAATTCACGTGAAGGAAGCTTAAATGCCATTAACTTGGTCTCTAAACAAGCCCCCAAAGACCATGGCGCCATGCCCTCTCCTTTGTTGACCGAGACACGCGAGTGTGAGGGGGCGGCCCGGAAAATACCCTGTACCAATTACTATTATGTACGTACATATACACAAAATATTTTTATACATAGACTGTAATATGCATCGTAACACACATTTAACACTCTCATTCAGACTCACTAGAAAACAATTCACTCATTCTCGAATTGCACCCGATTCTGTTGGTATAAAGAAGCAGAAAGGTGCACATCCTATGCCCCACCAAAATATTACCATGCGTCCCACGTTGGGAATCATTGCTGCAGATTAACAAAGCAGTTTTATTAATCTACAGCAATGTTATAGTTTTTTGTCTAAACTATTAAAAAATCTGTCAAACTCAAAATGACCGGGTCGACAGCTTCAGTCAAAAAATAAAAAAAAAAAGAAAGAAAAAAAATTCAATTGTCCGCCAGTATTACGAGACAAAGAAGCCTTTTTATATTTTATCTCGTAATACTGGCCGACAATTGGATTCAAAAGGTGTTTATTTTCGTCACGACGAGAGCAAACATTCAACACACAGATTCATTCATTTGTGGGCGCCACACACGAGACGAAAACTGCCCTTTGGTACGCCCCAGGAGCGGGAGGGGTGTAAAAAGTTTGCTGTCAGTGGGGACGGATCTCCTGGAAGTATAAACATACTTTGGGGTGGGGGAATAAGAAAATCCTGAAGTCTAATCACCCCAACAAAAAGTAAAATCTTAATTAAGTACCTGAAATAATCGACAGATTTCTTCGCAGTCCGCCGCGGTTGCACGTCTTGTTATAAACTTTGCCATACTTTTAAGTTTAACTAACGGACCGGTGTCAACCTAAATTGTCCCCACCAAACAATTGTGCTACATTTACAGACGACTTGATTTTTCTTTTTTTTTTCTTTCTTTCTTTCTCCCACCTTTTTCGTGGCAATCATTCATATTTCAATTTCTTTCTTAATGACAATTTAAATATCGTCAGTGATCATTAATTTAGACCAGTATTTCATTAATTTTATTTATGATGCTTTATAAAAATTATTTTTAATAAAAACAATAATATTAATTAAAATTGTATGAGAAAAATACAATTTAAAATGTTGAAATTGTGTAAAAATTAATATAGTAATTTAATTATTTTAATAAAAATAGATAGAATTGTATGAAAAATTAAAAAAATGTTGGAATGTGTAAAACTTAATTTTAATAAAACAGATAATATTGAATTGTATGAAAAACTAGTTAAGAAAATTAGAATGCTACTAACACAATTTCTTTGTAAAGATATTGGGTTTTGCATGTAGGACACCATAGTGGGTTTTCTTCTTTCATTAAGAATGAATGTGTAATTTTAGTGTGACCTATTTGTAGTTGTGTTATAGTAACCTATTCCCTTAGGTTTTTCATAATGACAGGGTTTTTTCTAAGGGTTGATAAGATTGTATTTAGTATATTTTGCGTTTTTCTGCTCCATTATTCTTGCCATGTGTTTCTTAATTCCTGGTTTTAGTTCAGTATATGGGATTTGGTAACTTTCAGGAACTAGTCTTAATTCTTGTTTTGCACTTTTGCCTGTTCTATCATTGCCCTTAATTCCTACATGGCTAGGAATCCAGATGAACAGAATTTTTTTAAAGTAGAGATGACAGTAGATACTGTAGTGATTACTACTATGTTTGCCACGGCTACATTTTTCTCAACTGTGATTGGTCAAATAATAAATACTAAATATCACAGGACAATTTACTGTTTGCATACACCACACTGAATTTTTCCTACTGTTAATTCACAAACATGTTTTTGTTATAAAATCACCGACTGGTTAATTTTTCATCCAATCAGATATTTTCCGTGTTCTTTCAAAATTTATCCCGCGTTCGTGCTGGGAGTTTACCGATAGTAATATAAGTCCGGATTCATTCCCAAATTAAACAGTAGAGTTGAAGACAGAAGAACTCAACTACTCACACGCATCTACACAGACTATTCATTCTACTCACTCCCCCCACACACACACACAGACACAGAACTTGAATATCATTCACCATCAGTTCTTTGTGAACAAGCCAAGTTGCAACAACTCTGTTAGTTATACAAAATATACAATTGAACTTACTATATGTTCTTCTGAATACACATTTTATTTTGATACAGAACTTTGAACATTCTATTCAGAAAACTTGCTTAATTACTTTTCTTAATTCAACTAACAGATAAAGGGAAACTATTTTTTCTCCTTATTATTCACACATTACAAATTTGCTTTGTATTTGTTGATTTTAATATATATTTTATCGTTGAAACACAAATCAGTTTTTGATTGTTTTTTCCTTGATTTAAAAAAATGTATAAATGTTAAATGCTCTTCAACACGCAGCCATATTTATCTTTTCAACAAAACACCATTTACATTGGTAACCCCAATGTTTAAGGAAAATAGCATTTACAATACCGAATGAAACTACAGAATGTTATAATTTATTTATTTTTTTAAATCTTAAGTAATTGGTTGATATTTTTAAAATAGTTTACTGCACAATGTAAACATTAAATACAGGTAGTTAAAAAGCATGCAGGCCATTATATAAGAGGAATCGTTTGTATTATTTGAGTAAAATGCATGTTTATCATTCTGTTCCTTGTTATTCTAATCCTTCCTTCCATTGTAGTAAAGTGTTAGCACATCATGAATATATCAGATCATGGCAAAAGTTGGAGCCCGATTTTCATTGTTAATATAAAATGACTGCAACTCGACACTGGTGTTTGTTTTGGTGACAATTTCTGGTGTGTTTGTAGTGACACTAAGTGCAGAAACAGGAAGTTAACTTCTTTCATAGCTTAAAACGTAATAATATATTTCAGGCTTTGCGCAATAGGCTCCACGCATAACTTTCAGTTGCAGTTGACTAAATACAATCCTAAATAAATATATGTTGACCAATAAGAAATGAGTGCATCTGAAATAATCAGCATCTTAATCGGAGCCTCTTTCAACTTCACTAACAATATAAATAGACCCCTGACTAAAAGAAAAAAGGGAGAGATTCCAAAAGGAGACACACAGAGAAGACAAACACTTACAAATGTGAGCGAATGCATTAAAGAGATTTTGTCTTCAATAACCACTACCAGTTCTCACACCTTTCTCGTCATTTTTACACCCCCTTTCTCTGATACATTCAACTTTTTTCTTATTCACAGGAATTATTACCAAATGAAACGAGCATCTCTCAAAGACACTTAAGTACTTTTATAAACTCTTGTATTCATTGAAATATAACAAAAAAACATTTTATTTAATCTTACTTAAATACCAACCTTGTGCCATCTATGAACATTACTACTGTTTTTTGTACAATACAAAACTACTTGTTAATGTTTGTATACATTATTATTGTTATACTCCAGGATTGATTGTTCTTAAGATGTAGTTTATTGTGTTTTATTTACTCATTCATAGATCCCTCCCTTATAGTGGGCTAATCCTAACCCTCCCCAAATTGAACCCCAGAAATAACTGACTATATGTTCAAGATGGAAACATTGCATTATTCAGTTGCCATTTTTGTCCACAAATGAATGTCTTAAAGATGGAGGATGAAAAGTTGCACTTTCACCATATTACGCTCTAATTTGGAAGATTTGTTTGAATTGAGCTCCAGCTCTTTGGATAGTTAAAAAGTGGTTTGGTAGATTTTGTCAGGGTGATTTTAATATAAATGCTCAAACACACTCTGAGTAACATTCCAACATCGATGAAGATGCCCTGCTTGCCATCACGGGGAATAAACTGAAGATTTTGATGAAAGACATTGCTGAGAGTTTGAAAAATCGATATTTCAACTACTTTTTGTAATGATTTAATAATACTAATGACTATAATGAGGCAGAGTCTGTCTATATTTCTGAGATGAGGTATTATGTACATTATTTACATTATTTGGACTATTATCATCATCTTTTTCACCATATCTATCACAACTTTTCGGCCGTTGTACGCTCTGGCCTCAAGGACACATGGCACAGTGGATAAAGGTGTTGGTTAGATCCAGTGACAGGACCCAAAGAGTGTGAGTTCAATAACTGGTTAAGGCAGTGGAGAACTTTCAGAGGGAAATTAACAGGAGATAACTGATAACTGACATCCATCAAACATGGCACATGGAACTAGAACAGTCTACCCCAGTGAGCGAAATAAAGGGTTCGGTTCGACATTCCAACCACCTGAAGAAGGCCGGAGTGTACAACGGCCGAAACGTTGTGATAGATATGGTGAAAAAGATGAGGACAATAGTCCGAATAATGTAAATAATGTATATAATGAGGCAACTGGAAATATTCTTCCCTTCCAAGCATTCCATTTATATCTTTTTAGTAAGTTATATTTTATAAGATATTTTATTAAGATTTATGTCATTCTAAATGAAAATATAATTCATTTTCTATGATTTTTTCCTATTTTAAAATTTCTAGGACTATCTCCTATAAATTTTCCCTCACCAAACTATTTTGATATTCCCTTAAAAATTAAAGTTTATTTGAGGAAGTATCAAAGAAAACACTTAAATATTTGCATCAAATGTGCATGTTTTAAAAACCTATTTATAAATTAAGGATTGATGGATTTATTTTTACGGCTTATCAACCCTTTGTGGGTTATTTAAATTGTTTATCGTTACTTTGTTCTGGAATTGTCGTCAATGGTCAACTGAACTTGGTTTTGTCTCAATAAATTCATTTCAATTCTTAAAAAAAAAAAAAAATAAAGCTAAAACATATATTTGATTGTAAGAAGAATTTTTTTGTGAGTGAATATTGCATTAAAAAATTTTTGCGAATAACAATGATTTTTTTTTTCTAGATACACGTCTGTTTAACCCATAGTTTGGGGAAGGAGATAGATTCTTACGTTTCTCACCGAGTAAGAAGACATTTTACTATCAAAGAAACATCAGTTCACACTTTATGGAAATGATTTTTTTGTTTAACATTCATTTAAATGAAGTAAAAGGCATTTGTATGAAAATTTACTTCTGCTTTGCATCCATTTTTTGGGAACAATTTTCATTCCCGAGAAAAATTAATTTCTAAAGTAGGATTGAGTGAGACGGTTCTAAAGATAGGGTTCAGTTTATGGTATAAGTGAAAAGCCAAAATGGCCCCTGACTTTGTGACCGGATTGACAGATATTAATATTCTATTTAACGTGCAAATTCAATGCAAAAGGCGGGCCCTGATTTTGAGCCTGCTTATGTAAATATGGCTGAAATAAAAATAAAAATAAAAAATAAGAGCAAAACTTGGCTGGAATAAAAAAAAAAACAACCTATAAAAACACTACAAAGAACAAAAGAATAAAGAAAGACAAAATCATTCAATAGAAATAAAGTTGATATTTATTTTAAATTTCAGAAACCCTTTTTCTATCAGTGGCACAGAATTAGGACACACTTTTGCAATTATATTGGCATAAACAGACACAAAATCATGGTAAACTTTAATATTCAGTTCACACATTAAAATGAAAATTACTGGTTAACTGAACTTTTCTCAAAAATAAAAAAATTCCAATAGAAATGAATGTCATAGTCAGACATAGTAAAACAAAGTAGAAAAGAAAAATACATTTTTATCCAAAATTCTATTATTTTACTTAACCGAATCTTAAGTGATTATTATTTTCAACCAAGTTATGACATTTTGGAATTGACAGATGAAGAAGCGGCTTGAAGTGACAGAGTTGTGGTTCTATCAACAAATGGCAAGAATACTGTAAACAAAATATCTAAGTAAAGAGAATGTTTTAAGGAAAATAGGAACTAAAAAGGAATTAGTATTTATAATCATAAAGACAGTTGAAATTTCTGGGATAAATAGTAAAGAAAGGTAGCTTGGAGAATCTAACACTCAAAAGACATGATGAAGGAAAGAGAACCTAGAGAAATAGTGAGTAAAACGTCATTTTTTTTTCACCCCCAGCAAAGCAATAAAGCCACTAAGATGCAAGAAGTTACTGAGTGTGAAAGAATATGAGAAAAAGAAAAACATTGTTAGAGAAAGAACAATAAAACAGGAATTAAGAAGATAACGATTGAAATTGCATTTAAATTTTTCAAGATCAAAGTTGACTGGAAAGCAAGAGGCTGGACATTTTCTTCTGTCACAGTTCCACATGTAAGAAGTGTGAGAGAAGAAACTGTTAGCATAGAACTTACATCTAATCAATTCAACTGTAAACTGATGAGACCTTGCAGCTAATCTAGTTCTGCACTTTAATTCATAAAAGAATAGAAGAATAGGTGCCATAGAAGAAAGTTTATCAGAACAATTATCATGAAAATGTTTATAGAAAAGGCACAGAGAAGAAATGTTATAGAGGTGGGAAAGTAAATGAAGTCAAGATGTCAGGTCAGGACTGATAATATTGCAGATTCTTCTTTGGATTTTATCAAGAGTCTTTAAGTACATGGCAGTAGCACCAGAATATTCAATGTGTAAGTGAGTTTGAGTGATTATGTCATTGAATAAGCAGAAAGAGGGACGGCAAAGAATTAAATGTTACTTAGAGACACAAAAATATAGGCAGTTAAGAAGAACCATGAGCATCAAACTTGAAAAACACTGAATACCAAAAAGTGACATACTTTCGACCTTGTGCCACACTTAATATATTTTTTTTCTAAAAAAAACATCACATATTCTTATGGCATTTAACATAAGAGATGTTTGGAATGGTTTCATTAAAAAAACTCTCCCCATGTCCCTTCATCCAACATGATATCTTCCCCTCCCTTCTGTCTTCATTTTTACCTGTCCCTGTCATTTATTAACACCTGCTACCACAAAATTTTCTTTTCTTTCCTTCTTGTCTGTTTTTCTTTTTTAAATCAATTTATTTCCTGTGTTTGGTGCATTTAAACCAGTCTGAAGATGCAGTATTTAAGTTTATAACTGGAAAATTCAAATGTAAGGTTTTTCTTTAAAATTTTTCTTAATTATATTGGTCTGTATGATTTGTTATTCTCATACATTGAGGTCTCTACTAGGAATTTTACCAGGATATTCATTTTTTAGGAACTCCTCAGGATTATCTACATAATCAAAGGATTATATATATATATATATATATATATATATATATATATATATATATATATATATATATATATAAATGTATCTTTATGTATTAGACATCCGTCGACTTTTCTTTCTCTCCTCTTTTAAATCCACCCCACCCACATCTCCAAAAATTCTCTCTGTCACTCATCCTCATACTTACACTTTCTCTAAATTCTGTTTTGATTTCAGGAGTTGTTTTTTCTGTTTTCATTTTGAATTTGTAGGTCTGATGATTTGGATCGTATTCTGATTCCAATGGAATAAATTATGACCATGGAATATTAGTGTTTAAGCCTTTTTATTATATATATATATATATATATGTATAGAATTAAAAATTTTTTCTATTTTAGAAGGTCATAATTTTTTCCTTCAATAAGCGAAATTTATATCTGCCTTCCTCCTTCATGAAGTTTGTGGCATTAGAAATAGCAACAAATTCATTCATTTCATTCTCATTTTCTCTGACAGTCCATCTGAGATAACCACAACTTTCTTCATTTGCAACCTGAAAATAAATAGGAAAAAAAGTTTAATATTTTATTATTAAATTGCGAGTCTGAATAAGGATAAAATAGAGGCAGTTTATGTGAATAAGAAGGGAAGATGATGGTTGACCCTGAACTTGAACAGGTTAAGATTGTAGTGGTCAGGGAAGCATCCTCTTGGGACTCGTTTCCATAGAGAAGTGGATAGATATTGTAGAGTTCTTATTCAGTACTGCTCAGTTATTGCTCACCTGTTTTCACTGAGTGCAAGTACACACTGCCTGACCCAGGGATTGAACTGACAACCACAATGTCACCAAATGCACAAAACAAACAATGGCCTGGTAGATTAAAGTGTTGGTTTTTGAATTTGGTGACATTGATTGCATGTTCAATCCCTGGATCAAGCACTCAGCAGAAACAGCAAACAATAACTAAGCAGTACTAAATAAGAATTAGATAACATGGGTAGTGGTATGAGAACAGTCTACCTACTAGCTTAAATAAAGGGTTCAATTCAGTGTTCCCTGTATGTTACCTGTATAGATATACACCTAAGGAAGGCTGGGCAGTTGTGATAACAACAACAAAGATGAAGACAATAGTCTGAATATAAATAGTGTCAATTTGGAGATCTAATCATAGCAGATAATATTTTGATACTTTCAATTGGGTGCTTTTCTATTTAAAATGGATTCCATTTGTCCAGTAAGAGATAAATACATATATGCGTGTCTTTTTTTTTATCAGCAAGTACAGATCATGCTGCATGGTTTGAGATGAGTTTTCTAAATGTAAAGTGGTCTCATGTAAGAGTTTTAGCAATTTGACTTAATAAAGAATTCCAACAATTTTCACTTACTAATCATTGCTCAAAATATGCTTTATGGCTCATGTTGCATATAATTGTGGAACGTTGGGGTGGGAGGAGTGATATCTCCAAAATGGCAGCACATTATTTATTACTGTGTAGACTGACTTGACATTGCACACCATGAGTAGGCCAGTGCCGAAAACCCTTTAACTAAAAATTTGTGACAAAACATAAAATCAACTAATGTATAATTTAAGAAATGCTATTTGCATGCAATGTTGAAACTCACTGTAAAACAAGCAGGATAATAGTCAATCAATCAAGTGCCATATGTGATACACACTTGGGTAATCATGTCTCTTTTCATTCATGACTGACTAGGTAGAAGATTTTCCCACAGTAGTTTGTCATTTCTTTCTGCGGTAGACTGGTTACCTGCCAAAGCTATTCAACCAATACGCGATACACACTTGGGTAATCATGTCTCTTTTGATTCATGACTGACTAAGCAGAACATTTTCCTGCAGGAGGTTCCTGTTTCTTTCTATGGTAGACTGGTTACCAACCAAGCATATAGAACCCAATATGTCCTGCTCATAAACCCATAACTGGGGAGAGAAGAATTGAATTCATATCTTCCACAAACGAATTTGGGTGTAAATGAATGTAATGAGCCCTATTGGAATTTGAACTCGGTTCTCTAACTTCACATCCTGAGCAAATACCCATTACACTACAATACACATCCTAGAATAATAGATGAGGAAGAAATAATAAAAAAAAACAACAGAGGATGACATTTAAAGTTTATTGTTCTTTTCATGATGTTCTAATTTTAGGCTGATGGATATATTAGGCAAAGTCTGTCCAGGAAAATGATTTCACTATTAACTTGTAATATTTTAATATGATGTACCTCTTAATTAATATTAGAATTAAATTGATGTCACTAATGGACAATTTATTATTATCCTGGCTAAGAATAAATGACAACTATTTTTTGGTGTACAGTAAAAGTTGACAAGAAGTCAATTGCGATGTTACAGGGAAACTTTTTTCACAGGTTTTTGTCACAATCATACAAACAAAACCCAAAAAGAGCAGCTTACAACTCAAAAGAATGTGTTTATCCATTGCTCCCTATTGAGGAAGTCATTTAAAGTTTATTGTTCTTCTCATGATTTTAGGCTGACTTAAATGTATAAAATACTTCATTTAATTAACACCTTCATTGCCAACCTGGGCATTCTGGCTAGGATTGGAGTGTAGTATCTGTTCTTCACCATTTTGCCATATTTTTGTCTTTTGACAGTTGATGGAAATGTTTTGAAAGATCCCTGATCTCAGGTATTGTAAACGCCATGGCAGCACCTGTCTATTGCAGTAAGCGGGAAGGTTGGTGGATTGCTAATGCCAGTAAGGTCACAGAGATGGGGCAATTTTTGCCCTTGGCCCAGGCACATGGGCAATCCACATGGGGAAACAACCTTGTGTTACATCCTGCCACCATTAGGAGTTGTGTAAATACAGAATTATAGGAGAGTATATCTGTTCCTTTCCTCAGCTTCATTCTTATCTTTGAGTGGGACACTGCCAAATAATGATAATAATAATATAGTAAACCCTGGTGATCCTCCATCAGCTCCTCCCTATTTCACAATAAATATCTTCATGCATTTATGATATTTCAAAATATTTTATAGTATTGCACTAACAGAAGTTTTGCTATAATGTGCTGGTTTTGCTGTGTTATGATCACAATCAGCAATATTAATTTTATTAAAAACAAAAAATAGAACAAGCAGTTTGTAAGAGTGAAAGAGAATAAAATAACTCACCTTGCACAAATGAATGAAAAGTTCTTTTGCAACACTTTTCTTGCTGTATTCAGGTGAGATGTAGACGTCAATCAAGAAAATGGATTTGCCTTCCCATGAAGAAAAGGCAAAATGGAAGAAAAGGTAAGCAATCAATTGTTTTGATGCACCTGAAATGAAGAAAAAAAAGGTATGTGATATAAAAACTAAAATCCTTAGACCAATAACTTCCAAATTTTCAAATTATGAAAATCAGAAATCACTGTGCATTAAATGTGGAATTATTTTCACTTTTTAACTGGGTTCTATATCAGAAGAATCAGAAATATTACAATATATTATACCATAATCTCATAACTCAATCAACATTATATGGATTAGGACAGATTAATGTCACTTCATACTTTTCTATTGATTGCTTCCCTTGGTCTTCTTGTGTTAACAACTAAGCCTTGTATTGTTGCATTTAATTTAATAAAATCCTAATTGTATAAATGAATCAACATTTTATGTATTCAAATAGATTAATGTCAATTCATTCCATGATAATGATTACCTCCCTTGATTCTCTGGTGATAACAACAACAACAACTACTAGCTTTTAATTTTAATTGGGTGAAGAGTTGTCTTTATTTTCACTGCTAATGTCTAGGGATATTTTGGGGGGGGGGTTAAAGTGAAGTTCATCTAAGGGGCCTCTCAAGGTAGAGGGTTACAGTAAGGGGTAATTTATGTGGATAGGAGAGGAAGATGACACTTGACCCTAGACAAAGTGGCAGAACTTATGCATAATCAGTTTACATTTCTGTTTATGTCAATCTTACACTCACCAGCCCTGTCCTCTCTATTGAATCTTCTCATTGGCTACAATGGTCAGCTGATCAAATCCTTTATAAATATTCATAGTGCAAAACATATGTGTATAAATAAATCACATGACATGATGAAGTGCTTTGCTTTCAGTGGACCATGTTTAACATTGGTGAACCCATTTATATGTACTTCTGACATTAAGAAACATAAAAAGGTGGGGAATTTTATCTTTCTCAACCTTTTTGTTATATTTTCTAGATAAGGATTATAAAAGTTGGTTGTAAGTCTCCCTGCAATACATAGCAACAGTGTTCATTGTGAAAATATTTCCAGATCTAAGGGCGTCAGGTTTACAAGTCAACATGACTCTGATGGGTATTGAACCCACAATGATAGCACAAATGATATAGGTTTAGAAGGTGATGCCTTAAGCTAAATTGTGCACCAAAGAAATTCTCCAACCAAGAACAATGATAGGTAAACTGTATCACAAAATACTGTCTCTAAGAAGATCCGGAATACCCAAAGTGTAATCCAAAATTAATCTTTCACCAATTGTAGGTTCTAAAGAAAATTCATTTTTTGTTTTGAATCAATTCACCCCAAGGAAGGTGACAATGCCAATAAACCACAAGAGGCTACTGGGAGTAGAAGAGAATGAGGAGAATTTAGAAGGAACTGGAAACTTAATCCTAAACAGGAAACAAGGGATGAACCTTCAGTCCTGTTCAAAAGACCAGAGAGGTATAAGAACTGGATGATAGACAAACCTATTTACTCTTATTGAAGGAAAAATAAAAAAAATAAAAATAAATTGCAAATAAAATTTCCGAGCTTTGGCAGATATGTTAGAAGTATAAAGTTGAAGTAGCCTTTAGAAGGGTCTGGAAATCCAATTCTAAACAGGAAACAAACATCTACTCAAAAGACCAGGGAGGAGTGTGAAATAGTTAACCCCCAAAATTGGGGTCAAAATGTGTAAAAAAAAAATATTACCAGCAATAAATTTCTGAAGAAAAAATTATTATTAGCCCTACATTTTGGAAAAAATATTACCAAAAATACTTACCAGCAATAAAAATCTTGTCGGCATTAAATGACCCGTTGAGGTTGATATGCCATAAAACAAAACAAACCAAACCATTTGGGATTGAATTAACAACTTTCCTTTATTTTTCCTTTGGCCTCACATTAAAAAAAATCCTGCCCTTACATCACTTATCAGTTAACTCACTGGTTACTGAAAACCTCTTCATATTTTTATTTACTTTTATATGTCATACTATGTTAACATCATCCCAACAGAAGAAAAGAATATGGAACTATGTCACTAACATTGGTCGTCTGTGTTGACATTGAGCCAAGTGTAAGATGGAAACTCTTTGCCAATTAAAGGCAACTGGAATTGAAGGGAAATAGAATGGTAGGTGGGATTCCTTTGTTTCTTGGCACAAGTTACTAGTTTAACTAAATGAGTTGGAGATGTGGAGGCCATCACTACATTGAAGCTGCAGAGGTGTGGTTGAGACATGGAGGCTTTCTCTTCATTGAAACTGTGGAGGTGAGTTTGAGAAGTGGAGGGAATTGCTTCATTGAAGCCATGGGTGTGAGCTTGAGACATGGAGCCCTCTTCTCCATTGGCGCTGTAGAGGTGTGTTTGAAGTGGAGTCCCTTGCTCTATTGAAGCAGTGGAGGGGAGCTCAAAATGTGCAAACTTTGAATGGAATTTTAAAATGTTTAACATTTTTTTTTTTTTCCATTTCGGAATCTCGGAGTAAAAATTGTAAAATAAATTTAGGTAAAATAAATTTATAAAAAGTAAACAAATTTGGGACTTACCTTTTTGATCTTCAGCAATGAGTATATGGAATAATTTCCCCAAACCATCTTTCTTCAGGGCTACACATTTCGGATCAAGAAAATTAAAGATTATTGAAATTCATTTACAATAAAAAAAACCCAAAAAAAACCAAAACCCCCAAAAAAGAATAGAAATACACATTAATATTCAATGTTAATGTTTTTTGTTTAATCAGTCTCACCACATGTAAGGCAGAAAAGCCATTGAGACACAAGGGGTTACTGGGTGGGGAAGAATTAGAAACAGAAACATTAATAATGAGCAGGAAGAAAAAAAGAGTATTCAGGAGGACAGCAGATAGTGATTGACATTGCATTTAAATTTTTTCAGATTAAAGTTAGATGGAAAACATGGAGCCAGAAGGGAGTTCCACAAGCAAGTGTGAGAAAAGAAATATTTAGCATAGAATTTATGGTTACATCAAGCCAGCTCAAATGTAAATTGATGAGATCGCAATGCCAATCTAGTACTGCACTTAAATTCCAAAAGCCTAGGTACCATAGTGAGGAGCTTATCCGAACAATAACCATGAAAGTATTTATAGAAAAGATACAGAAAGGCAGCCTTATGATGGTGGAAAAGTGACTGAACTTGGATAAGGACAGATAATGCTGCTGATTCATCTTTGGATTTTATCAAGTAGCAGGTTGGAGCAGACCATATGAATTCAATATAGTCTTTCCGCTTCCTGTTTTGAAGCCATAATTTTGTTTTTTGTACTCGAATGATACTATATATTATAGTATACTGCTGTCGCCTCCACCACCACCACCACCCTGTTTAGCCAGTCTTTTTTCAATAGGGAATAGAGAAAAAGAAGTTCAGTATAGATACATGAGCTTATGTGTTTTGGTTTTATTAAATAAGTAGAACTTTCCATATTCAGGAGACTTTTAAAAGAGAAACAGCTTGAAACACATTAGCATCCAAAATTAAGGAAAAAAAGCTGATAAACTTACTTTCAGGTGAAGGTGATGTCTGCTTATTACCAGAACTGACTTGCTTCTGCAGAAATTTAAAAAAAGAAAAAGGTTTGTAGAAGTTTTTCTGATAGGGTTCAGTGTTGTATTGAGCAAGAAGTGGGGGAGCATTTTGAACATGTTAAATAGTTTGTTAACCGTAGCAAATGTTGTTTTAATGTGACAACACTTACAAATTTTCTTAAAGTACTATAATTTATTTTTGTTCACTAAAAGTTAAATAAAAAAAAGTGCATTACTTTTGCCGTACATCTGTAGATTTTTAACCCTTGTTCCCTGTTTAAGATTGGGTTTCCGGTTCCTTCTAATGTCTACTCCAACTCTCTGCTTCTAACATCTCCACCTGAATTGATTTACATTAATTAATTTTTTTTCTCCTCCCCACAGTAGGAATAGATAGGCTCAGTTATCACTTGGTTCATACACCTCCCTCATTTTTTGATCAACCTGCATTACTTAAATAGCAGTGTGATTGGAATATTCTAGAGAGTTCTACAATTTTCCATTTGATTCTATTGATTCACATGATATCAATTGGCATTGGACAGATCTAGATGCTAGCGATCTTCACAACAGGTATAATCATTGGAGCACACAGAATTTGTAGGCCTCAATATTTACATTCATTTATATAAATGGTTAAACTGTAAATTTTGTATTAAAAAAAAGAAGACACTTTAATAAATTATCCCCAATGGAGAAAGACACCTTATTTAATGTTGGCTGCTTTGGAGTCTTTCTTTGCACTCTGTCCTATATAATTCTTGGTGTTATCTACTCAAATTTGTTTTATATTCATATTATTTTGTCTATTTGTCATATGTTCATCTGACTTGTACTAAGATTTAACTTTGACCGTTTATATGATATCACCTTGAGTGACTTGAAATTGGTTTTAATCAAAAAATGAAATAAAAAAAAAAGAAAGACAAAACATGTCCATATTTAACCTAAACATGTTTGAGATAATTATTGCTGCCAAAATACATCTTATGTGTGTGCGTGTGTATATAGAGAAGGAAGAAGGTGAAGACTTTTGTCCTTCCAAGAAGAGATTCCATCCAAAAATGCTGATTCACTGATATTTGTGGGCAGATTGGACCAAGATTTTTATCGTCTTTTCACATCCTCTCTCTCTCTCTCTCTCTCTCTCTCTATATATATATATATATATATATATATATATATATATATATAGTAAATTCCTAAATTTTAATTAAATATTCAGGACTTATTCGCAGATGAATTAAAATATTTTTTTAAAGGTTCTTTTTTTGGCTTGACCAAAGCTGTGGGACAGGCAGGGAGAATCAATATTATCTTTCAGAGATACCATTTAATTTTAATCCCTGGTTCCAGCGAAGAAAGCCATCTGGGATATACACGAATCTTGGAATGAGAAGGAAAATCAAAAAGGCAATCATTATTATTGCTGATTCAAACTGTTGACGTCAGGCATAGCATCTCAAAAATGAGCATCTGGTGATAAAAGAATTTTAAGGCATGAGAAAAAAATAAAGAATTCGATTCTCAGGTAAACACGACCACCCAGTTAAAAGTTGACTAGCGGAGAAACCAGGTGTCGGGTTTTGACAGTGATTAATGAGTCGATAGAGGTCCGGGCTAAGTGGATTTTGGGTGTCCCCAAAATCAAGATGTGATAAGAATTAATTGGCAATCTGGGATTTGTAAATGTTTTAGCCAAAGGAAAAGGAAAAAGAAAAAAAAGGGATTTTGTAAACAAAATTCTGGATAATAATTTTAAGATGGCCAGTCTAGCCACACCCACACTGTCGAGAGATCATTGGTTAAGTGGTAGCATGGGTGATAGGCGGAGGTGAATGTATGAGAAAGAGAAATTGTTAACACCCACTGAGGGGATTGGTATGAGATACCAATGTGAGAGAGGAAGAGTCTAAGAGGATAACTCTCCTCCGACCTTCCCTCACGGACGAGGGAGAAACTCCCAAAATGGAACGTGATTAATTTTCCTGGCCTAAGAACAAAGAGAATTCTTGTTGGGAATTGAGAATTATCAAGGAACCCAAACCACATCAGGCCCCCATACCAGGTTTTGGTCGGTATCCATATAAACGAACGTCTTGAGGCAGGTGATCAGTCAGTTCAAGTTTGGAGTTAGTTCGAGAAGTTGGAGAGTTAAGTTGCAGTTGGAGACCAGCCTCGCAGAAGCTGACCGAAAGATTTCGACGTCCTCTCGACTTAGTCTTCCTACCAAAAGCAAGTTTTTATTGACAAACGATTTAAGATACCATAACTCGCTTAAGAAATGCAAAAAGTGTCATGAATCATAGAATCCAACAGACAGATAAAGATAATTGTTATTTCTCAACATATTTGAACCTCTTGAGTTTGTTTTATTATATTTTTTAATTTACATTTGTGTGGTATCACCTTTACCCCAGATTCAGCTTGCACTATGGCCCGACGCCTGATTGATTTCGTCTACCTAAGATCAAAGTCACAACGTGGGTAGGTCAGACTTGAGATCAAAGCAGTTACTTCGGTGACCAGGCGGAGGCGAGCTGAGAAAGCTGGTATCGAACCGGGAACGACCAGATCGACCGGGACACAGGCTGGTGGCAGCGACAAAGAGTCAACCCCAAAACGCTGGTGGAAGAAACCTTACAGCTTCGCGCCACAACTGGGAGTCGACCACGGGCCGATGGCACAGTGTCATATATTGATGTCGCCACTAGTGGACGTCACATATTGGTGCGGCGACCTCACCATTGGGTGTCACATATTGGACCACGACCACCGGTGGGTGTCACAGAAAATCAGAAATTATGTTTATTTGAAATATTTTGAACCAAGCTTAACTTAGCTTCTGCACCGAAAAGTGGTAATTTGAAAATAGAACAAAGCAGGTCATAAACTTTCGCGTCACTTGACAGGTGATGAATGACATATTGACGGATTCCGTGAGGATAATTTGTTTTACGGGAGGAGAAAAATGAAATTATTTACATTTAAGTGAACAAATTATTTACCTCGTTATTTTTAAGGAAAACTTTTAGCGCTCTAAATTTTTTTTTTTGTTTTTTATACTTAGCTTTCATCTTTACGTTTACGATGCTTTATGGAAAATATATTATAAAGAAATTAAAATAAGACTTAAGAGTGAGATTAAATTTCATATTTCATAAGAAAGGTATCTAATTAATTTATAGGTATCTTTCTGATGAAATTTTATCAGAAGTGTACATAAAATACTATAATTTTATGTACATTTATTACATTTTACTGTGTTATTTGTATTTCCATTCATTTTATTATTAATTTTGATATTTAATTTATGGAAAAATGTCATAACTAAGATTAATATAAAAATATCATCATATAAATTTCATAAGATGATACTGATACTTGTAGGTACCCTTCTCAGTTGAAATTGAAAAATCAAATTAACTTCTCCACACGTGTTTCGCAAAAGTAGAGGCCTTAACAGTAGAGAACAATGCTTAACTCAAATAACTTAATTATAAACACAAAATTAAATTTCTTTATTACTGCAGATTATCTGATTAGTCAAAATGATACAATTTACAATGCGCTAAAAGAAGATCTATCTCATAAGGACACTTAGGAAACCCGATGCGGCTTTTAACTAATTTTATAATATTTTAACAACTTAAATGTAAAAATCTATTATAATTAAGAAATAACAAATAATTGTATTAAAAATTCATTTTTCATTGAAAAAAGTTTTTGCTTTCAGAAAATATTGTCTATATTTATAAAAACAACTAAAAGCAAATACAAGCATTTGAAATTAAATAATATTTTTGTTTTATTGAGTTTTCTTTTGTATGTTACAATTCAGGAGCTGATTTTCAGGTAGGATGGGTCCAATTAAAAACAAAAAACAAAACAAAAAAAACAAAACATGATTTGCATTCCTCAAAGCCTTGTGCTTTTAACTATTGGAATCACTAAACCTGACGCGATCGAATTTCTAGCGTTTTCATAAAATTAGTTGGGGGGGGGGGGGTAATAAATATATAAAAAATATTTCTGCCATGACTTTAATAAAAAAAAAAAACTTATTTATAATAATTTTGATCATCTGTGAATAGTTTTTATTTTTGCATGATTTTCCAAATTAATGTGTGTCACACACACACACACACATATATACACACAAATGTGCTAAAAACTGTATGTTATTTACTAGTTGCGATGATACAAAGAAGGTTTTTTTAATCAAAATTTAGAATGTTCTAAAAAGAAGGAAAAATTTTAAAGATAATTAAAATAAACTTTGATCTTTCCTCTTAAATAAACATTTAGACGATAAAATTTTGTTTTTGTCAAATTTGGCGTCTTTTTCATCATGCTATGCTCTTTTTTTAGCGATCTCATGGAGGCACCTATTGGGCTCGTCTATTAGCCCAATCTTACCTTCTTCAAGTAATGCACTGTTCCCACTTTCATTTGTAAATCTAGCCCTCTGATTGGTTCATTTCTACCAATCAGGTCGCCCGCACGTGCACTTCGAAATTTGGCGCAAAATCGTTTTGGAGCCACTTACGTGATCATGACCTCTTTAAAAAAAAAACCAAAGCACGTGTGACACGCATATGCAGACCTGGGCAGATCAGCAGCAGACCATTTTTTTCGACCACAAGCTTAAAAATGTGACGACTACTACTCCCGTCTCGCGAATCGAGATGACAAATCTTTCCCGTTCAATATCTTCTACGAACTTTTTCGTCATTCAAGAATCTCAAACTATACATTCTCTTTGATCATTTACGATAAATCAGTCAGTCTAGCGAACACAGATCTAATCTAATCCACGTAACTTGCGATTATAATTTTCCCGCGTAAAAAAAACGCACAACTGACTCACCCACAAACTTGACTCGAAGATTACTCTGTGAATTCAAAAAACTTCAACTCGCAAGACTTTACTTATCCAAAGTGAATTATTAACGCTCACTACAATTTAAGTAAATATTATTATTGAACATATTTCATACTTACAGTTAAGGGTAGACTACTTCTGAATGACTCAATTCTAAACAATACAAAAAGAACAACACGAACATAATAACGGTGTTTGAACTCTAATTACGAATTCTTATAGATTGTAATACAAATACACCAAGACACCAAGAAAAGAAACAAAATCTTCATCCACTAACAAACATAACAACACAATAATATCTTGTAATAATATTTTGTATATAATATTTGTATTGTATGCATTTAGCTGGGGAAAAGCGCATGGTTTGTTCTAAAAATTGTCAGTGAATCTTATAGGTTTTGCCATCGATCAGCACGTTTCACACATGAGAGTTTTTTTGTTTTTTTTTAATCTCTAAAAGACTATTAACAGAAAAATAAAATAAAAAAAATATCAAAACTATGCCAAAAAATATAACGGGTCACAACACAGATTAAAAACAAAAATATAAATAAATAAACCGGTCAGCAGTTTCAGATCAGAACTTTATTACCTGATATCTGGGGCGTACCAAAGGGTAGGTTTTTGTCCCTACTCACAGATATGCGTTTGATCTACAACATATGAACTTTTGTGTTGAATTTTTGCTCCCGCCATTGGTGTAAGGAACAAAATGATTTCATTGTGTCTAGCAATACACCTGACCCGATCAGCAAATGAAAAGTTGGGTATTTTTTATAATTATTACACCCATAACAGTTGAGTCTTTTTTTTTTGGTCGTGGAAAATAGGCGTCACCAACCATGAACTCTAGCAATAGGGGTGGAAGCACTCCTGTTGGTCGTCCCGGAAAATGGATTGAATCTTCTTTTCTCACACCTAAAATGTGATTGTCCTTTGGGGACAAGTGAAATCATTTTAATTCTGACGATATATCACTTTGTCTTCTTAGATAATGGGAAGGTAAAAGTTCGGATAAATTTGCAGACAAAAAAAAAAAAAATTTCCTTCTAGTGTAAAATCACCTGATTATTCCAAAATAGCATTAAAAATTAGGGGAAACTAACGTTTAGGAGAGATTGACAATTTTTTTAGTTGTGTCCCGGTTACCCTCGATTACTGCGCGAAATTTTGTTTACTGGCCTCAATAATTTGTCATTGGAGTCCAGGCGTGACCACCGATATCGGTGGTGGTCACGGCCGAGGCCAGTAAACTTTCGCGCAGTAATCGAGGGTAACCGGGACAAAACTAAAAAAAAATTGTCAATATCTCCTCTAAACGGTAGATTTCCGCCAATTTTTAATGATATTTTGGAATAATCAGGTGATTTTACACTAGGAGGAATTTTTCTAAAAATTTGTTACTGGGGTCGGGGGGGGGCATTAGTTTGGGGTGGTTGTGGATGGATCTCTCTTGGAAGTAAATAAAAGTAAAAAAAAAAAAAAAAAAAACCTTTTGTGGAAATCACAAGAAAATCCGGAACAATAAGAACCAAAAAAAGTATTTATTTTTATACTATTTTTAAATAATATTATGATAATGACCTCCCCCACCCCGACTCCACCCCACGAAAAGTTGGGGGTCACATAAAAAAAAAATTGTCTGTAAATCAGGTATTCATTGACGGGATGACACAAAGTCAAAGGGTTGTAAACTGAAGTCTAACCAAAAAATAAAAATAAAATCTTAATTACCTGAAATAATTGACAAATTTCTTCACAGTCCGCTGCCGTTGCTCTTCTAGTTATAAACTCTGCCATGCTTTCCAATAATGAATCGGTGTCAATCGAAATTGTCCCTCATAAAAATTGTGCTACATTTTTTATAGACGACGTGAGTTTTTACTTTTTACAGTATTTCTCCAACCTTCTATCACAGGCGTTTTTAGTTACATTCACTCGCATTTTTTTCATATTTGCATTTAAATATCAATTTTTATCAGCATTTCTGTAATCATCTTTTTGATGTTTTAATCGCAACTCTATTTTTTTAATTATAAGTAGCGCAGATAAACAAACCTTCACCATTCAAACTAGGCAAAATTTTCTGGTTAAAAATCCTGTTTTTTTTTTTACGTCGCTTTAAAAAAAACACATTGATTTGGAAATTCTTGCAAAAATCAAATAATTGCTGGATTTTAATGAAGCTTTCAGAACTTATTCACAAATGAATTAAATTATTTTTGAAATTTTTGTTTTAGAAAATCTTGGTAAAATATATTTTTTTTACATATATTACACCTCATTTTAATTTCATGAAATTTCGAGAAATTAAATAAACTGTATGTCTAAACTTTTTATTAGTTCCTTGGAGAATGTAAATCATCTATTTTTTTTTCAAACTTTGCTTTTCTGAAAATCTGCTCCGAATGGCAAACTAAAAATGTAATAAAAACTATGACATTATTATTTAATTAGAAAACCTTTTAATTGCTTTTGTAAATGAGTTATATTTAGTACATTATTATCTTAAGAGAAAAAATCTTTTTCGATGAATAATGAATTTTTACAAGAACTTTTAATTTTTCAAAATTAAATTCTAATAATTTATCATAATTTAAAATCTCCCACACCGTATTTCTTTTAGGTGATATTGTATTTAAGTAGAAACTATAATTACGAATCAAAAAATTGAAAAGCTTAATATAAGTCATTTGGCACCAATATTTTTAAAATAATTTTTTTTTTTTACTTTAAACATTACCACTTTTCATCTATGGTAGTGTTGAGGATGTGTGATGTGTGTTGGAGAGGAATAGAAGGTTTGAATTATCAGAAGGCTTAAAATTGTGTGTGTTCAATAATCTTCCATCCACAATAGTTAATACAAGACAGAATAACGATTCATAAACATATTGTTTCAATAACTTAACAATTGAATTTATTAAGTATTTGATATACATGCATGGGAACTGAAAAGTTAGACAGAGTTGTGTCTCTTAGACTTGGAAATATTTGTACCTAAGCTCATAAAGAAGAAGTTGATTATTAAACTGTAGAAGAATGAGTTGTTGCATGTTTGGAATTGTGTATTGTACAAGTTTCTAGAAGTTCAGAAGAGATTTCAGAGTTCGTACTTGCGTGAATGTTGGCAATGGTCTTTAACGTCTGACCACATTAGTCAAGACGGGAGTTCTTAAAAGTTACATCTTGGTAGCAAGGAATGAGACGCGAGAGAGGATATTTATTACTGAATATTACAGTAAATGTGGCACAAGGCCAAAAAGGGGGTGGGGAAAAGAGACGGTCATCATCTGTCTTGATTTATAACTTAGCTAGCTACAACCACTGACCCAATCGTACAAAACAATAATCCTAGCACTAAAACAACACATTCATACTTACCTTTCTTACTACATCCACCAAAATACCTCATTGTCTCAATGAAAGTCCTAAATAGTTCCCATATGTACAAATCGTTGTCTATGCCCGGGAGGGGAATAAAAACAACAAGCTAAAAACATCCCAATGATATATATACAATATGGTTATAAACTATTGACAAAAACTAAACCAAATCATGTTAGTAATAAAAAAACCCACAAACCTTAAATGTGGCAGAAAAATCAGTTAACTAGACGAAATCGATGCGGGACTTTAAGAATCTAGCTTTCTTCCATCTCCATTCATCCATCCCAAGCACTCACACAGTCATACACTCATTCTGACACAACAACAATTACGAAAAACACGCACGCGAAACGAAAGGCGCCCCCTATCCACCAGAGAACTGAAATCACTGACTACTTAACGAGGGAGGGGATGGGGAGTTAAACTAAAGGAAGAAAAAAGGGGGTCAGAAATAAAAGGGGCCAATGAGCAAACACACCCTAGCTAAGTTTACTGGTAAAGAAAAGAAAAACTAAAGAATCAAAAACCTACTTCTAGCCTAATCCAGGGATGCGTTACCGAAGTTTAAACCAGGAAAACAATATCCTGATGCCTAACCGGCATCAAAATGCCACTCCAGGTCCACCCCTTCTACTCGGCACATACGCGCAAGATTCAGAACATAATGTTGATCGGGCTGTGAAATCCCGTGATAATGGGGAAATAGCCTTAGCTAAGGCAGAGTTGTCCACCTTGCTTATCAAGAAAGTTCAAGCTCTGGTAGTTAGGACAAGGTTAAAAAGAATGTCTTCTGAGGCGAAGAACATGGCCGCTGAACTGCGTGCAGAGGAAAATCGGAACGCGTCTAGGCGACATATAGCGTGCGTCACATTGCCGGATAAGCGGACCGTGACTACAAACGCGGGCATATGCGGGGCCTTTCGGGATTACTTTCAGGATCTTTTCACCAGGGATCCCCGTCTGAGCTGTGTTAGGCTGCTGAAGCGGCTAGGTGCGAGGGTCCTATCACAGAGTCGGAAATCTGGGAGGCGTTGAAACAGGTTGGCCTGGATAAATCTCCGGGACTAGATGGTCTTCCCTACGAAGTTTACTTGAGGCAGTCATCTGTTTTTGTTCCTTTGCAGGAGCTGATTTTCAACCACTGGATGAAGCAGAGGTCTATACCTCAACGCTTCACCAGGGAAGTGATCAAGTTGCTGCATAAGGACAAGAACGGTGGGGATGGGTTAGGTAATTTTCACCCTTTAACCACGTTAAACACTGAGATTTTGGTGAAGATCTTAGCCAACCGTTTGCAGCTTGTCCTGTCTAGTCTGATTGGCTCCGAACAGACTTGTGCTGTGAAGAGCAGGACTATTCAGGATAATCTTCATATGGTACGCTTGATCTTGGAACAAGTCGACAGTGAAGCCGCGCTGATTAATTTAGATCAGTCCAAGGCCGTCGATAGGGTTGACCATCGTTTTCTGGAGGCTGTCCTTTCGGCGGCCGGTTTCGGAGCCGACTTTCTCTCCTGGATCCGACTTTTGTATGCGACCCCCGGTGCGCTGGTGGAGGTGAATGGGGTAAGATCGAAGCCTTTCGTATTGTCTCGCTCCATTCGTCAAGATTGTCCGCTTTCACCTTTGCTTTACGTTCTTGCGTTGGAACCATTCCTTCACAAGTTAAAGGCGAAACCGGTCCTGCGTGGAATTTCTCTGCCTGGGGCTACCACTTCAGCCAGGTATTCTGCCTATGGTGACGACGTTTCGGTTCTTGTGTAGAGCAGAGCCGAGATTGACGAAGCCAGCAAAGAGATCAGTGGCTATGAGATGGTGACAGGGGCCAAGATCAACCGCGATAAGTTGGCTTGCAGTTGGGTGCGTGGAAGGGAGTTTCTCTTCCCGGACCTTTCCTCTAGACGGATGGGCCGATCAAGATACTCGGCGTCTGGTTCGGTCCTGATCTCCAGTTAGAAATGAATTGGTCGGAGGTACAAGGGAAGGCCGAGATCGCGGTTGATCTATGGTCCCGGAGGAGGCTTTCCTTAAAGGGGAAGGCGGAAGTATGTGTTTCACACATCTACCCGATTCTCCTTTACCGACTCTTTGTACTTCCACTTCCGTATACCAGACTATTATTATTAGTACGGATCTTGTTCTTTTTCTTGTGGAGAGACAAGGCCGCTATGGTATCTCGCGAGATCTGCTGCCTTCATCCCTCTGAGGCCGCTCAGGGTATCCCTAGCATTGAGATTCGTCAATATATGCTTCGCATCAACTTTCTAGACTGAATGTGTCGTGGATCCGATGAAGATTGCGCCTTCTGAAAGGAAGACGTCTGTAAACATTTCCCATCCCTGAGAAGTGTGCACTCGTGAGAGGTGGCCGGCCGTATACACCGAGCCGAATGCGCCTTCTACCGCGAATGTTGTCGTGCTCTGAAACACCTCTTACGGGCGCCGGATGGCCTCTCCAATGCCCGGGCGTTGTCTCGTAGGGCATTGTATCAACTGTTAGTCAGTGGGACCGTTCGGGATGATCTAATTTGCGAGCTCGGTCTTACGAAGCAGGAGGCTCGTTCAATATGGCCTTAGGCGCCTGGGTTGAAATACCTCAGGGAAAGGCAAAAGAGTTGGTGAATTCAGATTGAAAAGGAAAAAAAAAAAAACTACAAAAATTATTTATAATGAAATTTTTCAGTGCAACTTTGAAATTCATATTGTTGCTGTTCTTAGCAATACTTTATTTTTATGAAAATAAAGGCATGCTTGAAGAATGGGAAAATGTAAAGTTTAATGTTATTTTCTAGTGTGAATCTCTTTTGAAAGAATTCAAGATTTCTTTTCATTTTAGCAACTATTAGATTATTGTTTGTATGGATGTTCAAAAAGGAAATAATTCTAAATTACCTCCTTTGATTGAATACACATTTTATATAATAATTTAAATTACAAAAGACCACATTGGGCATAGTTAAATATCTCATAAAGTGCGACATGTAAGAAAATAATCAAAAAATGAAACTGACGTATTAAACTAAAAAGTTTTATTTAAATAAAAAAAATAAAATAAAATTATTAATTATACTCAGTTTTATAAAAATGTACAGAATAAAAAATTGTATTCTTAAACAATTTGTTATATAAGGTTAAATATATTTATTTTTAAACAAAAATACAAATTTATTGATTATTGCACTTCTGGTGATCCGCATTTATTTATTTGCATAAATAAATGTTATTTTCATTATGTTTAATCAAAGAGTAAACATCACATTTACAAAATCGATTTAATTAACCCTTAAATTTAGAGTTTTGTTTTTGTTCGGGGGTGGGGGGCAATATTTCCCCATAGCTAGGACCTTAACAGGTGCTACCACCTGGAAATAACAGCAATTAAGATGTGCTTCCACGCTCCTCAAAACCTCCA